CTGAATATACTAGTGGCCCCCATGTGACGTGGGCCCCCTGTGATATGGGTAGCTTTGTTAAACACTTTGCCATGAAGATATGTATTAAACACTGGGGGCCGCGCACACTACTTTTTAAGATAAGTAGAAAATGTTGGGGATCTTGCTATATCACAGCATTGCCACTCATGTGCTACAGCTCCTTTTCCCTTTACTTTAACACCGTCAATACAAACTAGAGATTGGTTCTGAATATTTACCGGGAAACCTGGTGATGGTAACAATAAAATGTCATCCTCAAGCCTGTGGGCAGGGTATAAAAAGTGAAAGAAGATATGGAGGCTTCAATACTCTGTTGTAGCCGTTCTTTACGATTGGAATAGACTGGAGTCTATCTAAGAGAAGTTGGCATCTGACTCAACACAAATTTCTTCAACTTGTTCCAAAGGCCCCTTCTCCTGACCCAGATTCATTGCCACCAAAAGTATGTAAGTAAATAACCCATTTGACCAGTGCAGTAAAACAGCCCCAAAATAACAGCTGTTGATTACATACAGTTCAGTCAACTCACTTAGCCAGTGCATCTTCAGAGTCAATGAGCATGGTCATTGGCTATTAGTCTTTAGCCAGCTCTAGTGCATTTCACTGAATGCTGGAGCTGTGACACTACTCCTTGCTTCCACTCCTTAACAGCAAAGGAATTTTCCTGATTGGCTGCTGTTGGATATTTTTGGCATTAGCAGCCAGAACTGGCTTCCTATGCTAAAAATGTTGCAGCAAGAATGTGAAGCTACCAGCACCGATGTCCTTCCTGATCAGTATTTTACTCCAGCCTTACTTTTTGGATTGCCTTAATCCCTTTCTATTGTAAAGAAGCCACTGGATGTCTTCAGTCCCTAAATGTGATGATAAATCTTGAGTCTTTATAGGAAACGTGTACAATTCCATTTGGTATTATTTGTAGGGACCTATACACTTCCACCAGAAATTTGTTACCCTTAGACTGTTAATAATAAAGTATGTCTACACTGTAATTAGAAACTTGCGGCTGGCCTGTGCCAGCTGGCTTGGGCTCATGGGGCTCTTGCTAAGGGGCTGTTTAAGTGTGATGTAGATGTTCAGGCCAGGGTTGGAGCTTCATAGCCCAAGTCACCAGCCACAGGTCTAATTGCAGTGTAGATCCTAAAAGGCTTTAGTTCCTGCCCAGTGAAGGGGATATAGGCTGATTAGTGCTTCATTGCTTTGATCTGGTCTTTCAAGTTCTTGTTTGGAAACTTAAGGTTTTTGCATATTCTGTACAAATCTTATAATAGATTCTAGGTTTTGTACAGTTGAGTTGCATGTGTGTGATTTATTTTTTGTTTAAGAATTAATTAGTAGTTTTCCTTACCAACAAGAACCATGGGACACTTTTGGTTAATATTAACAGTTAAAATATGAACCAGAAAGTGAGAATTCTTGCAAAACTCTCCTGCATTATCTGTCAGGAACTCGCAACCCCACTGCCCAGAGCACTGGTGGCATGGTGAGCTGAGGCAGTGGGGGAGGGAGGACAGCAGGGGAGGGGCCAGAGGCTGGCTGGCTAGCTTCCCTGGCCGGGAGCTCAAGGGCGAGGCAGGACGGTCCAGCCCGCGGGCCGTAGTTTGCCCACCTCTGCTGCAGCCAGTAGGCCTAGACTGCTCAGCAAATGATTTTATTTTAAACTGTGGGAATTGCTTTAGGCACATATGCTAATATTCATGTTTTGTTAATTAGTATTGTATCATTACAGCCACTGTATTGGAGGAAACATTGAAAGAAAAAGGAAACAGGAAACTTCGGTATTCATGCAATTTTCTGTGGATTGAATTAAAACTAAAGTTAAGATGCGTATAAAAATCAAAATGAAATAACCTACTTTTTAAATGTAACTAGCTAAAAAGTGGCAATTACTATGTCACAACCTTCTTTTCAATCACTTTTCTATACACTTTGTTCGCAGGCCCAGAAATGATAGATCTTACTCTTTACTTCAATATTTCTTTGGATACACTTCGTATAACTCAGAATTCTGGCCCCAGAGGTCCAATCTTACATCTTATACGTAGGCAATATCTTTCCCTATTTGGTTACAGTGAAAAGTTACGATACTCAATAAACAGTAATTATTCTCTCTTCCATTAGTTCACTCTGTAACAAGTTCCTGAGCTTTGACCTAACTAGTTTACTTTCAATTGCTTTATCCTTTTGTTTTTTTGAGACTATTTCTCCCAAAAGTGTTTCCACTTCCATTTTCATTAGTTCAGTTTCCTGTTTGGGGCAATTATCTTGCCTTCTGCAGATTCTGGTTCAAACGGAACACAAGAAGGCCCTCTTTCCTCTGTAACTGACCACAGCAGGCTTAGTCTGTCACAATTATAGTCCTGTGGGATGCTCTACTCTTGGGATTCAAAGCAGTGGAAAATATTTCAGTTCCACCCCATCTCCAGAGTTCAATTCATTTCTATTAATATGTATAATTTTTAAAGTGAAATTTCTAAAGATTTATTAGTTGACATAGGAGGGGATTTCCTGCTCCTGGAAGAAAGAGTGTTGCAGTCTATAGCAAAATGCTTCATGGTTTTTCCAGTACTGCACAATCTTTGGAGACGTATAAGTGACAACAGTATAATAATGCTTTTTCTCTGTGTAATTGCTTACTTCCCTCATGATGCCAAGATTTCTATTAGAGGCAATATAATGGCTGGAAAGATTGAAGCCATAGCCTGATGACAAAGAGTTGTTTTATTTTGTAGACAGTCATAGATGGTCTTAAATATGTTGTTAGTTACAATTAATAGCTTCTTTCCACTGCAAGAAACCCCTTACAGATTGTTTCTCTGTCTAGATTTGTCTTAAGAGGTTGAGGTTTACCTGATATTTAGACATTCTAGTTTGAAAGAGAGAGTACTATGAGCTCCTTTGATGAAAGATCCAGATTAATCTAATTGTTTTTCTTACTTATGAGTCCAAGTGCTATCCTTTAATTCTGAAATCTGCATTTGACATCCATGTTCAGTAGCTTTTTCAGTCCATTTGATTTTTATGTTTTGAGATTCCTTAATGATTTTTTTGTCAAATTGTATCTTGAGTTTAGGGTTGTTTTTTGTTTAAATTCATAAGCAAAAGTTAACATATTTGGTTTCTGGCTTGCTACTTTATCAGTTCATCAGCAAGATACAGTATTTTCATTTCACTGGCTAATTAGAAGAATGGAGGTGTAGAGAAAGCAAGACAAAATATAAGCCGACACAGTGAAGACTTTAACTTTTATGAGACAATGTAAGAAGCTAGGCTGGAAAAGCCTGACTCTGGGAGTTCCTCTAGTTTCCTTATTCTAGCCAGACTACATTCTAAGTCATGCTCTTGTATTTCCCATTAGCCTCTCTTTATACATCAAACTAAAAACCTATATTCACTTGTATGAAATCCTGAAGGAATCAGACTTAGTAGTGGTCTGATGGAAAACACCTTATGTACCTTTATACTTGCCTAGATATAAACCAACTTTTCGCTAGATTAATTCAGTCATCATCAGCTGCACTCTTTCAAATGTTGGGAGAAATCTTTTCCCAAGAGAGAATGGATGATTTGGCCATTTGGGAAGCATCCTCCAGCTAATAAAACCTAAATAGTGACTTCAAAATGTCCATAATTCTTTTTTTTAATTGTTCAGCATTAAATGTGGTTTTGTTCTTTTTCTGTGTATTAAACATTATTTACTGCTCAGCAATGCTGACTAGAATAGTTTGATTTTTTTAACCACCTGTCATACATCAATTAGCTGTTCTTATTTTAATGTTTTATAACTTTGATCTGCCAGTCTGTTTCCCCTCAAAAACTAGGAACATAATTGCAACTACAGTTTTTGTCTTGAAACCTTTCTATGACAATGAATTAAGATTATTTATTTTCTATGAATGCTCCAATTTAATTAAAAATATAAACACCATCAACTGTTTTTGATAGTTGTTAAGAAGTCTGTCGCTTCTGGAAATTGGACTTTTACTGGCTTTAATTACATTTGGCTTTTCAAGAACACTTGAAACTTAATGGCCTGTAGAGAGGAAAAGTCTGTCTTGTGTCCCTTATATGGCCTGTGAGAAAGAAGTAGTCTCAGTCAAAAAGTAATTGGCATATACTTCTCAGACTATGAAGCAAATTGCTTTACACAGAAAACTCTTTTATCTAGGACCACATCATTTGCCTGATAAGGAATCTCTCCTGGAGCTACTCTTTGTGTGTTTTGTAATACTGGAATGAGAAGCAAGAAAGAGGCCACTATGCTTAAAGCTATCTGGAAGCTAGTCTGTAAATTAATTGTTGCTTTTGTATTTACAGAGCCAACACATGGTATGTATGGATATGTATGCAGCTAATTTTAACTCCAGAACCTCAAAACTGCTTGTTTGAGTAGCTAGATGTAGCTTTCATAACATACTTTGATACCTTTTGTGTTCCCTAAAAGTGATCAAAGAACATCTCAATATGTACATGGTTATTTTGCTTTTTAAATATCATTCATATTGGCCACTACTGCGTCAAACGTTCAAACAAAATATGACATTCTCACAGTTTTAGCTTACATTGAAGCTGGAAATCATTGTGTGGTTTTGGAAACCAAACACATCCAAAACACAGTTGGAAACTTTTTATATGACAGCCTGTTTTATAAGACAGTAACATCAGTGTGAAGATGGAATGCATATCCTAATGGAGGGTGAAATTGTAGCTTCATTGAAATCAATGGCAGTTTTTACACTGAATTCAACAGGACCAGGATTTCACCCAGATTATCTGGCTGTCTACACTTGTCATGGTTTACACAGAAAAAGTACATTTTGCGTAGCATGAATAAAAGCACATTACTAACTGTTTTATCCAATTAAACAAGTACAGTACAAGGTACCTTGCATTTCTTGGATTCGTAACTAGCAATGCAAAATATTTTGTAAATCCTGGCTGCTGAGTGCAAGTTAATAAATGTTTCTTTTCTTGGCCAGGTTGTCAAGTTATTAAGCAACAAAAGATCTCAGGCAGTTGGAATATTAATGTCCAGTCTTCATTTAGATATGAAAGACATCCAGCACGGTAAGTACAATAAACTTTTATTAAGTAAGAGTTTTCAATATTTTTTTTTCTAAAAGCCAGAAGGTACTTGATGCCAGTGTGTATCTACCCGTTTGACTAGTGTTACGTAATTGCCATGTATTATATACAGGGTTGCCCAGTTAATGTGGCTGTTCATGCAAAGCCTTGCAATTTACGTTCTTTCACTTGGGTTCTGTCAGATATATGAAATCTAGTGTCTTTGGCTCCAGCCTATATGAAGAGATGTATTGTTGATTCCAACTCTGTTAGCATCATTGGAAACCTAGACACCTTGAAACATTGTGACTTCCATTTTATTTATTTTCTGTGTAAAATTGCACCTATGTTTAGTATTAGAATATCACATATAGACTTCTTAGTTGCTTTATCTTCAAGAATATTATAAAGAGCAATATTTTGGTGAGATTGTAATATTTGTCACATTTATACTAGGATGGCAGAAAAGAGGAGTTATATTTATATTCAGTGTGTCTTTTATGCTTCCCAGGGCCTTTGAATAGATTTAAAGCAGACTGAACTGTCCTGTGAACTGCTAGCCTACCTATTAAATAAATATGGTTTCAAGTATAGTGCAGACTTCATAAATCATGAAAACATTTTTCTAGCTTTCTAGCCTACATCTTTACAGACGTGAATTCCATTTGCTGTGCTTAGATTATTTTGTGGAATAATTCATATTTAGAACAAATTTTATTGTGTTCTGTCAGCTAGTGAGTAACTTTTAATCACAATTTAAGTTTTTATTAAATTGTTTTTATGGTTACTAGACTTCCTCAAGCTGAAACGTTTAGGATGGTAGTCATAGAACAAGGCGCCAGTACTGGCGCCAAGAAATACTTGGTATTTCTAAAGCTGGCAGATGTAGTTCAGTTAAGTCATTGAGTGAAATCTGAAAACAATGATATGGTCCTTTCCTTCAGTCAAATATTCAACTTGGTTTGAGTTAATAATGAGAACCTTATGAACAAAGGAGTCCGCCTAACATCTGTGTCTGTGGTAAAGCCAACACGAGTTCATTGAAAATGTGCTTGCTTAACATGCAATACTAACAATAACATGGCATGAATGTCTGTAGTTGAAGGGGTCAAACAATATTATGCTTAACCTTTATCCTATTAGAATGTTAAGTATATAGGATAATCCGTCGTACAAGTTACACACTATTTTGTATATTCCCCTTCAATAGCTGTTAGTTTAAAACAAAAAAACTTTGCTAACGCACAGTTCACTATTGTCCTTATTTACTTGTTGTCTGAAATATGACTGAAATTGTGAAATAGAGGCAACATTTTTCTATTAGGGAAGCTTTTGGAAAATAATGCAAAGAACCTGTCACTTGGTGGTTAACGCAGTTTTGGAGGCAGGAAAGGAGCACCGACTGGGTCAAGCAAGGCAGATGTACTGCAACATCAAGCATGCCTCTCATCAATCCAAACCAACCTTCTCCCTATTTCCATTTGACTTGCACTCGGGCATTTCCCCAAGACAGACAGATATCTGCCCTCTTCCTTTCCAGACATCCCATACACACTTTCCAGTGTGGGCAGATGCACCCCCCCCCCAGACTCGCTCAGTTTGCTGATCTTGAATTTTGATGTTGGGTAGTCAGGGTGTACTAATGTACTAATGCTACTGGGGAGGAAGGTTCTATTACACTTCCCTTCCTCCTCCTTTGACCCAGGACCAGCTGTCTCAACACTGGGCCTACAAGCAGCTTCCCCTGCTGCCAGCCATTGGAGAACATGGAAGCAGAAGCCAACTGTCTGTAAATGTCCTATGTTTTGGCCTGGATTTCACTCTCCTGAGAACTGCAGGCCAATCTGCCGCTTATATGACAATGGTAAAGAACAACATAATGCAGTGTTGCCAGCTTTTGCAATTATATTGAGAGTCTTGTGATACTTAATGTTTTCTTAAAGCCTTAGCTTCTGGAGTCAAATGATTGAGAAAATCTGAGTTTCCATTTTTTTTTAAATGAGGTTACCGCCCACATGATTACAATGAAAATCTTGCAGATGTGAATAGAGTGAACCCTAAAGTTTCAGAAGCCAGAAAGCAAATGTTACATTTTGGGTGCTTGTTACTTATTTAAACTTCACTGTTGTTTGGGGCCTGATTTTTGGACGTTTGGGCAACACTGAAGAGCCAATTTCTTCTAACTCTGAACAAGGAAGTTCATCATAGGTCAGCTGAGTGCCCAAGGCACCTCTGCAAGCTCCAAATTTCTGCTGATCTCACCTGGACCCTAACTGGGAGACTGAATCTCCTGGGGAAACAAGGAGACTGAAACAGAAGGTGAGGATAAAACGCTTCTAGTCTCTATGGTCTCAGTGAGGTTTTTCCAGTTACAGCTGATACACCCTAGCTGAGACTATGAGGTGAAATTCTGGCCCTGTGGTTTGTTCAATGGCAAAACTCCTCTTGGCTTCAATGGGCCAGAATTTAACCCTAGGAGTACTGTTGCACTCCCACTTGTTTCTTGTCAGACCTCACAGCATAGAGTCTGTGGGATGAGTGGAGGTTCCCTGTGCAGCTTGGGGATTTTGGACTGTGAGGGAAGGGGGAAGGCCATAGAGCGAGCACTGGATGCAGCCTCTATGATCCCCCACCTCTCAGAGAGGGTCAAAGGAGACTGAAACAGCCCTGGGCATAGTCTGTCTCCCTCGCCCCCCAAAGGAACTAGGATTCTCAGTGCTGCCCCCTTGCTGTGGCTCCTGCAGACTCTGTGACATTGTTAATGGTGGTAACATGGCATTTTCCATAGCTTGGCTGAGGCAGCACATTTCCCTCTCCCCACCCCTCACCTCAGTGTCTGGGTTTCTCCCTCCTCCTCCTAGTGACTGCCAAAATTTGTGATCTTAGACCCCCCCCCCCCAAATCAGATTGTCAGTGAATACTAATTATTAAATCATAGCCCCAAGAGCCTAGCTTCACTTTCTATTTATGCCTCGTTTAACTTGGACTTGAAAGCATGTAAATATCTAGTAATAATATATTTTTACCAGCTTTTATAGCCTATTACAGTAACAGAGAAACTGATGAGGGAGCAGGAGCAGAGAATTTAAATAACCTTTCAATGAAAAAATGATAAAATATGCAAATGGAGTATTTGCAGTATTTGCATAAATTCCAAATTTATAGACCTTCATTCATAAATTATGCTGTTAGAATAAGGAAACCAGTAATATCTTTAATACTATACTTATGGTCTACTTTACTCCACTTTGCAGTCCGTTCTGCTTGACTTTGTGCTACAAATTTAAAGAAACAGTACACATAGCCTTACAGCCCTGAGTGCAATACCGGAATGCTTATTTCTGAGTTTCCTGGATAGTCAGAACAAAATAATTGTCTCCACTAACAGTCTATTGTATTAAGCATTTCTTTATCTTGGTTCATGGGGTTATATCATACTCTGTACACCGATATTCCTTGTATTAAGTTTAAGGCATATCTGTTGAATGTGGAGGAAATGTTAATTACTTGCAAAGGCAACTTGTAAAGATTTTAAAAGTGAGCACTGTATACCTCAGCAAGAGAGGGAACCTTTCAGTGAGACACTGTATCAGGATTCCTTCTTTTGAAAACAAAACTCAAATGATTGTAGGAATTTAGGTGAAAACTGGGATAAGCATGAATTCAAATGGTTAATTTGGGATTGCAAGTTACAGGTACATTATTTTCGCTCATTTTTATAATTTTAAAATAATTTGAATCTCCAGGCAAACTTTATACTTAACAATTTAATAGCTTTTGAAAATTGCATAATATTGGTAAAATATTTTCTTAAAACAAATCTTAATACTATATGACAGATTATGTTGAAAATTTGAAATAGTAATAATTTATGCTGTTTCTCCAACTATTGGTCTCTTTAATAGTTGGAGTCTGCTACTGTTTTCTGAGTTTGTGATTAGGTGACATTTCATGCAAGCTTGCAGCAGCAGTACAATGTATACTGAGTTGTTTCCTTTGGTCAGGGGAACATAAGTGGCAGCTAATGAAATTGAGCGAGTCTGCTTCTTTCTTTGAATTGGATTCAGTAAGACGCTTGCCCAAATTCTGGTTGCTGTTTAGATATTTTTACAGTATGGAAGGAATCCTTTTAATGAGCAGAACATATTTTTATTGAACCCTAATAGATCTTTCTAGTAGTGCTTTAAAGTTGTTGGGTTTTTTTATAGATTTTAATTGCTAACAGATCTTCCAACTGTCTATCATGTGTTGGCTAGTATTTTAAGAAATGTTATTCTCTTTAATCCCAATGCCATTTTCTATATTGTTAGATGCTGCAGTACAAACAGTAGTTCTTTTCTCATGGTTTCTCTGGTTTCATGCATGCGCTTACTGACACCCAATCATTACAATCATCTATCAGTTACCTGAAACACTTTATCCAGTCATTTTGCTTGTTTGGTTGGTTGTTTTTTTGGGTGGGGAGGGTATACCACTAATATCCTCTCTTCATTGTAGCCAGTAATCTATTCCCACTGGAATCATGACTGCATTTGGCTTCAGGATTCAGCTGTCTGACAGAGGCCAGTCAAGCACTTCTCATGATTTTTTCCTTTATATCTCAGATATTCTTTTTTAGGTGTAAACTGGTGATTTCATGATCCATTTGTTTTTTCCCAAAAGATCAGAAATGCAAGCCATGTTTAAACTGGGAGTTTATCACAATTTCAATTAGCAGTTTCGATTCTGAGTGATAAAAATCCTATTTGAAGGACATCATAGTAGTGGCTATGTTGAAAGTAAGATATTAGGGCTGATTAAAAATTTTCCATTGAAATTTTTTTTTAACAAAATTTAAGTTTTGACCAAATGAAAACTTTTTCTGTGTTTGCTTTCCTCGAAAAGAAAATAAATACAAAAAAAAGCAAAAAAACTTTTTTTTTTTTTGGCTGAAGACCAAACATTTTTTATTTTTGGCAAGATTTAGTTTTTAGTTTTTAGGTGAAAATAACAATTAAAGAAGT